TACTAAGTTCCCACAGACGGAGCCAAATTGTGGGTGTTGATTTCCGACCACACAACCAAACAGGGAACTTAGCTGGAGAGCATTAGCAGAATATATTAAGCCCAAATAATCTGTCACAGAAAGATAGGAATCTGGCGGTGGTTCGTCCACCTAGGGGCACTCTGACGATCAAGTCAGTAATCAAATATCTCTATAAGATAGCTAGTTGTGCTTAACTCACAGGAAATAACAATATATCACCCATAAAAAACATACCTACTTTTATAGCCAACATTGACCTAGTCCCTATAGAAGCCTCACCTAAGTGGACTCATGCTCAATGTTTATCCTGGACTCTCAGCTAGATAGGAATAAACTCCCCAAAAGCTTTATCTTTACCTATACTGAGATCCTTCCCTGTTCTAGGACTCTTATCCCTTATCCACTCATCTTAGATACCGATATCTCTGCAGGAAACCTTGGCCTAGCCGAGATCACCTCAGTACCAAGACCAGTCCATGTGGCACCTCAGCTGACAATTCGGCGTCACCTTTGGCCACATGTTGTCATTCAAAAAATATGTCCCCACACTATCAATTCTCTCTCATAGTGAGATTAAGATTTCCATTTAAGGATTGGGATTACTTGTCCAACCCATGGATGGATGGGTGAAAAAAGACCATTTTGCTTCCTATTGATAAAATTAGCAAAGTTAACTTATATGTGATAAGAGCTTTTACATTAGTCAAAATGCCTAGTATAACTCACTTTTTTCAACTTCAATACATTAGGCATACGATTAGGCATTTTATTTCAACTTGCATTCGCTAGCTACATCTAACTAGCCTTCAAGGTTAGGCAAAATGTATTTAATCATTAGAATCATTTCCCTCCATTTTTATTGCTGATGTAACATTCTATAAAATTAATAATATTTGGATGAATAGCTAAAATAAATAGCATGTTTGGAGTAGAAACATGAAACAGTTGGTAGACAAAATAAAATGTATACTTTATAGTAATATTTAGATATGTAAAATGTCTATTACCGTTGGAGATGCTCAATATTATCACACTAGTGCACAAATAAATGCACTTTAATGTTATCACACTAATAATTCCATCATTCAATTATATCGTATTCATAATTCCATCCAACTTAATTCACCAAACAAACATGATAAATTGATATAAAATTTTAAGATAAATTACAAATACATCTCTTCAGACTTGTCAAAAATTCAAATTCATCCCTCGCATTCTACCAAATACAAACATTCCATTGTTAGAATGTTTCTTAGAATTAACCTAACCAAAAATAAATAAATTATCCAAATATCTTCTAATACCAAAATAAAATTAACATACTACTCTCATTTTCATCCACCACCATGAAATCTCTATCTTTACATCATCACAACTTTCTCCATCCCTCCTTGGCGACATATTAGATGTTTGTAGACAATAATAATGGTGTACTAATTTAGAGAGGGTAGTGCGATGATTAATGGGGTGTTTGGGAACTTGGTTTTTGAGTTTTTTTTTTTTGTTTTTTTTACAACAAGACAAATGTTTTACAAAATCAAAAAAAAAAAAAAAATCCAAACAAAAAATCATATAAAACCCCATAATCATTTCACTTTTTCTCTCACAAACATCACATCCAATCACAAAAAAACCCAACTACCTTTCTAAACACAAAAAAAGAATTTCTCCAATAATATCCTACAACTAAAAACACTTACAAAAAAATTCACTTCTCAAACACCCACTAAGTAAAGTGGTGTTACTAAAGGAGAGAAAATGAGAATTAAGAAATGTAAGATAGGAAAAATAAAATAAAAAATAGAAAAACGATTAAGACCCCCTTTTCCCCCACCCTCTTTGACCCTCTCTCTTTCCTGATTGGTCAAATTTTTTATTTTTTTTTCTTTTTCTTCCAAACACCACCCGCCATGTGTGTGCGGAGACGATGGGGGTTGGTGATTGAGGGGGTCTCAATCACAGCCCTAAAAAATAATAAAGTGTTCAACTTCATCAAGCATAATATGTGTACTTTAAAAATAAAAATAAAAATTGTCACTTACATCATACACTATTAATTTGACTTAATAATTGATTAATAAAGAACTCATTTATTATGTGATTGGTCTCGTTTGAGAACATATTTTTTTAAATAATTTTTTAATTTTTTGACTAAATTATAATGTAAAAAAAATTAGCATGTTTGAGATGACTTTTTAATTTTTTACGAAAAGATGTGCAAACAATAGAGAGAAAAAGAAATCTTTGACTTTTTAATATAAATTATTGATTTTTTAATTTTTTTAGTAACTTTTTAATTTTTTTAGCTAAAAAAATTACTTACCAAACGAGACCTGAAAACTTTAAGATATGTAATGTAATTTCTCAATAGTAAACAAAAAAAATTATATTTTAGTAAACTTGAAGGGTGTATGCATATAATTTACCCCAAATTTAAAAAATGGAATTAGTTGATGCCTCTTCATTTGCAAGCATAATTCAATCGAAAAAATAAAGGGCCCGTGATTGACAAATTAATATATTCCTTAATATCTATTTCTACCATAAATTAGGGAGATTTTTTTTTTACTACCTTGTATACATCAATTTTTTTTTTGGTACATCGGAAATGAACTTGTATACATCAATAGGCACGAGAAGGCTCTTGTGATAAGTTGGTATGTAGTTATTAATAAGGGAAGGCAACATCATAAATAGTATTAACTTTCTTTTTATAAGATTCGAAATTACAACTTCAAATGATATTACACAATCTACAATCCAAACAGTCATTATGCAAAAGAGTCTAAAATTAGAGACATTAGAAAGAACTCCAATTGGAAGTCACTTGTAATTTGATTATTGTAGCGATTTTAATTTTTTTACAGAGTGAAAAAATTTATTGAGAACGACATTTTTAATTGTATAAAAAAATATAAAAAAAAATAAATGTGTTTCATTTATTTTTCAATAATTTTTTTTTTGACCTTTTTAATAGTTTTCTAACCTTTTGACCTTTCCAAAAAAAAAAAAAAATTAAATTACCAAATTGTTCCTCTTCTTAAAGCCTTCCCGTACACCAACCCCACGGGACTTAGAAGCCTCATTAGTAGTCCAATCACCCCAGTACAATCAATATAATGCTTCTCCACTACCTATCTCGACTAGAAACTAAAAAAAAAAAAAAATTATTTTTTTGGACCAATGGAAAGGGACCCCAGTACCCCCACTAGGGGTCCAAAGCTTTATTCTTTTTATTATGCTATAAATCTCTAGTATATATATTAGACACTATAAAGTATTATAATATGACCGACATAAATCCCCTGTTATCGTGTACACCTAGAACCATGAGCCAGCACGTCACCAACATGTGTGCTTTGTTTTTCAAAAGGAGAAATTATATTTTGTATCTTTGCATTTTTATTTTATTTTTATTTTAATAATTAAAGGTGTAATTATGAATCTATTTGGTGTATTTTATTATAAATTAAAAAGTTAATAATTAAAAATTAGAAATTAAAAATCGTCATTCTATATTTTTTAAGTTATTAATTTTTTCTTCAATTTATTTAAGTTATTTATATCTAATGAATTATAAGTGAAAAGTATACTGAATAATCTGACATAGACTCTTAAATTAAAATAAATTATAATCAACTCTTTTAAACTGTAACAAATAGTTCATATGTTGAAAAAGATTGATATATATATATATATATAAAGATATTAAAATAAAATATGTGTAATATAAAAAAATATATATATTAAATTTTTTTTTTTATTTCAACCTTATAATTTTACTAAACTGAATCGAATATTTAATTAAACTCCCAAATGGGTCCATAATTAAGATTAAATTGATTCAATTTCTTAACTTCACTTCCTTAAGCCATTTGGACCCTTAATTTCTAATTCCAAAATAAGTTTTTAATAGAATCATATACGAGTCAGATTCTACAATTCTCATAAATCCCAAATTAAATTATAATGCTCGGCAATTAATTTTCAAATCCTCTTAATTAATCAAGTACTAATCATTATACGTGATGGGGTCGTTACATTTATCAACTAATATATTACTTACCTAGTGTTCAAAATCAAGAAATAAAAAATTGGGAAAATTATAAATAAATAAAAAAAAAACCCCGCTTTTCACATTAAACTTTAACATTTTAATTTTAACAATTTAAACCCTAAATTTTTAACCGTGTTCCAATGTTGAAACTTGGGACTAAAAAATTTGTTTCTATTAATTTTTTAAATTTTATGATAGAATAATGGTAGAAATATCAAATTTTTTACCAAATAAATAACCATATGTCTCACATGAGTGTGGAGTCCACATCTATGTGAGACATTTGAATGTGACATTTTATTTTATTAATTTTTAATTTATTTTATCTTTTAATAATTAATTTAATTCTGTCTCAATCCAATCCAACCCAACCTAACCTACGTTGCCAAACGAAATCTTAACATCAATAATTTTGAAGGATTGATATTTTGATTTTTTTTATCATCCCAATTCAAAATGTATATCAAAAAGACATTGGAGATAAAATACGAAATTGTTTAGGATGAGTTATATATATCAAAAAAAAAATAATGATGATAATAAAATAATTAAAAAGTAAAAAACAACATTAATTAAAAAATTAAATATCAAATCAACTTTTTTTTATTTAAAAGAAAACTAAAATCAATTAAAAAAATTCAATCCAAAAGTTGGTGGTAATTTCGTCTTAAATAATTTTCCTAATCTGGAAATAGCAAAAAAAAAAAAAAAAGGTGGCCAACAACATTAGTAAAACAAAACCATCTTAACCTCACAGTCGTCCAGATCGCGTGCAAACCAATCAATCCCCATCTTTCTACAAAACCTCACTTACACCGTTCGATTAGCGCGTAAAAAGCACACGCTATGAATGAGAGTAACAATAGTCTGTCCCAACACTATTTCTGCACACGAAAAGCATAACTTTTCTCCTTCTCAGGTTCACATACATCAAAATCAAAATCAAAATCAAAAATCGTCTTCAACTGTGATAGAGTTTGTAATTTTTGTAGTACATCATCATCAATTTGAATCTGGACTCTGCAAACCCTAACCCTACCCCCTCATTCTCTCTCTCTCTCTCTCTCTCTCTCTCTGGATTTCAGATTATACATACATACATATATATGCTGCCTATATAGAGAGAGAAGCATTTCTGCAGAATTCTGAGCTGCAACCGCACATTCTCTCTCTCTCTCTCTAAACCTATCTATCCTGAGAGAGCACTGTCACTGCTGAACAAATTGAATTGATAAATCTTCAATTCAAATCCAGAAACATCAAGATCTCTACGAATTCAACGATTCTTCGTGTGTTATATGTGTGTTCTCATTCATGGTCACCATGGGAGCTGAGAAGAAATGGCTCTTCGCGCTCTTCTCCGCCGCATTCGTCTCTCTCATGCTCTTCCTCTCATTGATCTCCGGCTTCAGCGCCTCCTTCTACACCTACAGCTTCCACCGCCCTTTCGCCTCCACCATTCGCTGCGGCTCCGGTTACCCTCCGGCCTTCGCTTACTACATCTCCGGCGGCGCCGGCGACGGAGACAGAATATTCCGGCTGTTGCTGGCGGTGTACCACCCCAGGAACCGCTATTTGCTGCACATTGGGGCGGAAGGTTCGGACAATGAGAGGCGGAAATTGGTCGGGTTGATTAGGTCTGTGCCGGCGATTAGGGCTTTTGGGAATGTGGATGTGGTCGGGAAGCCTGATCCGGCCACGTATATGGGCTCCACGAACATTGCGGCGGTGTTGCACGCCGCGGCGGTGCTGTTGAAGGTTGATGGTGGTTGGGATTGGTTTATTTCGTTGAGTGCATTGGATTATCCTTTACTTACTCAAGATGGTATGCCATTTTCTAATTCATTTTCTTTGTTGGTTTTTTTTTGATTAATTTGATTGGAAAATTACTATATTTGTGATTATGTATTATTGGATAAGAATAGTATATTCTATAGTTTAATTCAGAATATATTGGGACCAATTTTGTTTTCTTGTTTAGTGTGCTTATTTGTAATGTTGTTTGAGCATCTCAAATTTGGGTAAAAAATTGGTTAAAAGCTTGAATTTATATGGGATGCTCCAATGGATTTTCATCAAATTTAACTAAAAGCTTGATTTGGTGAAAAAATTGAATTCTCCAATACCAATTCTCACTTGAAAATTTCATCAAATCCCTTTTAAAAATTCCAACCTTACCCTCAAAAGCTTCTTTCATCAAATTTTGTGAAAAACTTGTTTTTTCCTAATGAAAAATTTCGTAAAAACTTGACTTGATACGAGTTTGATGAAATGATTGGAGGTTATTTTCACTAAAATTTTTATTAAATTTAAATTTGATACAAAATTTGATAAATGATTAGAGATGTTCTTAGACAAGGAATTATAAATTTTCTATTAAGCTCCGATTTGGATACATGAATTTGAAATTAATAGATTTGGTGTCTCTCATTCAAGGATTATGACATTTATCTTCAATGTAATATTCTAGATATGGATTTCAACTAGGGATTTGAGAGTTTTAGATTAATATGCAATATGCACACACAAAAGAGAGACATAATATTTAACGTGATTCGGTCCAAATGCCTACATCCATGCAAAAGAGAATATAAATTCACTATGCATAATAGAGAGTACAATGATGAGGTAAAAACACACTTAGGCCTCATTTGGGAACATGGTACTTTAGTAACTTTTTAACTTTTTGGCTAAAATATGAGGGGGAAAAAACTAATCAGTGTGTTTGGTTTGAGTTTTGTGGATTAAGTTTTTTAAAAACTGACTTTTTTGGTTTTCGTATTTTTTTGTTTTTAGTGAATATTTTTTAAATTTTAAACATTTTTTTTTACTTTTTTAGATGCACCTTACTTAGATGTATCTAAAAAGTAAAAAAATTATGAAAAAATATTTTAAAAAATTAATAAATACATAAAAATACAAAAAATGTACTGAATTCTTGTATTTTTTTTTGTATTTTTGATATTTAGTGAATTTTTAAAAGATTTTTTTTACAATTTTTTTACTTTTTAAGTGTATTTATGTTAGGTGTGTCTAAAAAGTAAAAAAAATGCTTAAAATATTTCAAAAATTCAATAAAAACAAAAAAATACGGAAAATAAGAAAGTAGAAATTTTCTGAAAAGTGTTTTTTGAAAAGTGGAAACAAGCAAGGTGAATATATTTAGGGTGATTTTTTAGCTTTTTACGAAAAGATGTGCAAAAAGTAGAGAGAAAATAGAATTTTTGACTTTTTGGTATAGATTATAGGCTTTTTGGCTTTTTTTAGTAACTTTGTGGCTTTTTGGCCAAAATGTTAACTTGCCAAACGAGGCCTAATCCAAAATCAATACTCGAGACCCCTACTCAAGAGTTATTGAGTCCTTGAGGCCCAAACCCCATAAGTTTCCCGCACACTGGTATTTTACATCTTACACTCCTCCCCTCTATCACACCCCCCTTTTAACTCACTCTCACTCACCCATTTGGAGAGTCTCTCTCTCTCTCTCTCTCTCAACCTATACACCCCTATTTATACGTACCACGAGATGATTGAGGAGACACTTAGAACACTCTTTAAACTTTCCAAGAGATGACTGCTGAGTACACCAATAAATAAAGATCCAACCATGTCTTTACATTTCCAAAAGCTGACAGCCTCATGCATGAACACCATGCATATATACCAATGCTCATAACCCACTGTGCCATTTCCTTTCTTCAATGTTGGCAACACAACTACCAAGAGCAATACACCATTTGTAGCTCCAAAGCCCACTGCCACATATTTCCAATTATGGCACAAAGCCATAAACACAAAGGATACAAACCATGCATGTATCAATGTGGCTCCCAAGAAATAATACCCGTTCTACTAAAATATATGTTTTTCCCATTTCACATAGGCAAAAAAATCCAAAGATTTAGATGTGAATTATTTTTAAGAGGGTTATTATTGGTTATATAATAGGTATTGGTTATGTTGGAGGCCATTAATGTTGCCAATATATATATATTTATATTTTTAATGAATTTCTTGTGGCATTGATATTTAAATTTAATTGTTCTGGTTTTAGAATTTGTTTTGAGTTTTTCTTTCCCACTGTTTGTGTTGCATTCTGTTGGTGCGACAAAGTGCTCTTGGAATTTCCTGTGAATGGCACATAACTTGAGAAGTATATTTGGCGATTGCAATAATTGTCGGTTATTCTTGAGGAAGCTAAGCTTGTGGCCATTTGCTCAGTTTACTTGTATGTGGTTTACATCGAATATTTTAGCTACTTTGCATATTATTTCATGCATCTCAGATTTGTTTTAAGACATCATATCAATTTTATCATCCATCACTTTCTTATGGGAACTCTCTTCTTTTTTTATATTTTATTTTTTATAATTATATTTAATTTTTACTTCTGTATATCACCAATCAACTTCCTATTTCTAAACTTTTTACATTGGAATGTAATTCTTGAATACTTAAGTTGTCATTTGGAAAACTTAAGTTTTGGGAATGTACATGTATGCTTAAATGGATGGTGATCCTTTTGTTGTTTTCGACTTTATAATTTATGTTTCTAGTGTTTCTTTTATCACTGGTGTTCAGTAGCGAGATTCTATATTCAAGAGGTAAAAAGTGACATCTCTATGAACTAGGACTAGGACTAGAGTAGGTTTCTAAGCATATCTTATCAAATTAGCTTCCCTAGTGAAGTACAAAAAGGGTTTGATTTCACACAATGTTAACCACAATTAGTTTCAAGGTGTTGATTTAGAAATACATCGAATAATAATATTCTAAAGTTGAGGCATGAGGGAAATCTATAGGGTGACGGGTGCCAATAGGTTTTTAAATTCATCTCATTGTACCACCTTCACTGTTCAAGCACAATTAGAGATAGACTTGATGCAATAGTGGGACATACTGGGCTTCATGTTGTAGCTCACTATGATTTTATACAATAGTGGAAGTTTGAATTGAAGCTCGTATGATTGAACCAAAACAGAAGTAGCTCTTATGACGGGCTTTTGTTCAAACCATTTGATGAGAAAAACAGAAAACCTTTGCCACAAGGGTTTTTTTTTTTTTTCCTTCATGTTTGTAAATAGAATTGTAATTGAGATCATTACCTATTATTTAACTTACATGAATCTATTTCTGTATTGGATTAGTAGTTTTCTACTTCGCGATATATTTATTTTTGCTTGATTTGTTACATTATGTTTGGGGAGGTGATCCAACCAACAATCAGAACCTTGTGCATTATGACCTAAACTGAATAAATTTGGAGTGAACTGTCTGTGTGATAGAATGTTTCTCATTTTTAGTAATGATCATGGGGTTAGCCTGTTATAGATTCCCTACTTCCTATACTTTTAGTTTAGTATATACTTGTTAAATCTAGCAAATTGGTAGGGCATCTTTTCCTCTGCACTTCACACTTGCCATAGATTTTAGCCAAACTTGTACCATTGAACCGAAGCTTATATGATTTAATAAACTAAACATTGTCTTTCGAAGGTGTATGAGCCACAGGATCCATGCTTTGTTTTAAACTTTTAATTCATTAAATAGTTTACCAAATTTGGCCTTTGTGTTTGAGGTGTGATACATGATGAGATATGGTGCTTCATGAAGCACTTGATTGAAGCAATGGCTGACAAAACCTAAAGGGCACACCTGATAAGATGATTTATATGTTTGGATTTCTCTGTTAGAGAGAAAAATGTCACAAGCAAGGACAACGGCTACCCAACTCTTAACTCCTCATTTCACTTCACCTCTACCATGTGTCGCCCCCAACGAAACCTTGTTCTTTTTCTTCACCTTTGCCATGTCTGTGACACTCTCGTTCTTTGACCCTTCCCACCCCTCCTTTGTCTTCTTAACTGTCTGTCTCCCATATCTAAGCCTCCCTCCTGCCCGTTTCTCTCCTGTTTAACTACACTCTCCATTTGTCTCATCCTCCTTTTTTTCCCAATTAAACCCAATATTTTCTTTTTTCTTCCATGTTTAGGTTTATGAATACTTGTGGTTATGGGACATGTATTTTGCAAATTTTGATGATTCAACTATCCTATATTACAAATTTGCATCATGATTTGATTATTTAAATGTTCCATAGAATGTATCCAACATACGCATAGGATTTGTTCAACACGTGTGTACTTTACTCAAGCCAATGTCCCACGTGCCTTGCACCTAGGCTCTAGGAGACATTAACATCTTTTTAAACTTGAAGCGTCTACAACTATGGGATATGAATCTATTTATACATGATTCTTGAAGAGCAATTCATGTTGTAGCCTAACTGAAGTTGTTAGATCAAGGCGTGGTTAAGCTGAAATAAGAGTGCTTAGAATCCTAAATGTTGTGTGAAGAAGATCAATAGGTATTATATAATGAAGTTTAGTTTCTTTAAATTGTGATGAATAATTCGAAATCCATCTGTTTACTAAAGTAAAATTCTTCCCCTTGGAACTTCTTTCACCGCAAAAATAAGAGCACTTAGCATCCTGGAATATTCTTACTCTTTTGAAAGAGAGATTAAAGCATGATTTCTTCCTGTCGATGTTTGGGATTCACAAGGTGGCTTATAAATGGTAATCATAAATCTTGACAAGCAGAAGAATTAGGTGTGATACATTCTTTAAAGTGTTTTAAGTCTCACATGTCTTGGTGAAAATCTCTATTTTTTTTAAGCTTGGTCAAGGTGGGGCTACCTCAAGTGATTAGGTCAGCAACTTGGCAATCCTTCGGCTGTAGCCTCTAAGCTGCAAATTCTTCATTGATCCTGAGCAGCGTTTGTAGGCACTACTTCTAACATAGGTTACTACCTGGTATGAGAACTGGAGAGGGGGCTTGGTGGCAAAGGTTTTAAGTAGTAGTACCTGTCATGTTAGCAATGGTGGTGGCATGGTTTCGAGGTAAAACGGGCGTAGTGTAACAATTGGAAATCGGAGCTGTGATTTTTTTTCTTGCAGACAATTATTCAAAATCCTACTGATACACATTTTTTTCCCGGAATCTTATTTAATGGGGTTTAAAACAGTTTTGGTGGGTTTTGTTTAATTTATAAACATGATTTAATATATGTACTGAATTTTATATTATTTTTAAAATGTGGCGAAGAGAGTTTAAATATATTTTTTTCAATGGTCATAAATTCATATGACTTCGATTTAATGTTTTGAATGAGTTTTAAATGCTTTTAAACCTGATTTAATGATTTTATAAGTGATAAATACATAATGCATTTGAAATTGAAAAAAAATTGAATATACTAAATAAAATCTATTTGTATACTTGCATTGCATATTTGCACAACTTTATTATTATTATTATTATTATTATTATTATTATTATTATTATTATTGTTGTTGTTGTTGTTGTTGTTATTATTTTGTATACACTAATCAACACAACATTATGTTATTCCATAATTTTATTCAATTTTTATGCTAATGAAAAATAAAAACAAAAAAATTACCTTAACATTTACCTATTTAGTTGATTTCGAGAAAGTAGACCAAGGTAGAGGAGATGAGTCTGGAATCCAACATGTAGCCTAAAACCAAGTAAATATAATTTAAACTGTTTAATCTACCTTCATTCAATTGAAAAATTAAGCAAAAATACAGAAAAAAAAACAAAACTTGCCTTATTTGGAAATTTTGGGTTGAAGGTTAAGATACATTATAGATTTATGTTTCAAATCTTATAGATCCAAGTTTTTTATTTTTATTTTTTATCTTTTTAGAGGCTTGTGTTGAGGAATTAAGAAAGCAAGTCGAAGAACTGAAAAAGGAGTCAACTGAGCATCTAACAAATTTGATGGCCAACAACTAGTGTAACCGCATGACTGTTGTGCCTTTATGTAACACAGTTAATCTGTGAATTTCATTCACATCACAATAGTGGTAAATATCAATTTCGGTACCTGCCAAAACAGTCACATAACACTGTTACATAATAGTGTTAACGATTTTGGTAGCTTTTTAAATCAATACCTTAGTCATGGATAAAATAACTAAAATACATTCAGGACGATGTCTCATGTGTATATTGTTTGCAGGTGATTTTGTTTGAGTGGATGAAGCTAAGGGCGGAATTAATATTAAAAATAGAAATTTAGGGAAAAGCACTCTAGACAAAAAGGTTTTAAATTAGTATAATTGAAATTGAATAAATGAGATTTAATCACGCAACATTAGTAACAATTGAAGTAGAAGTAAAGAGAAGTGAAGATTGAAAAATAGGAGATAACAAGCTGATCAAAACACAAAAATAGGAGATAACAAACAGTGACCTAAGTTGATTAATAATAAGTATGGAGACGTTGAAGATGATATGATCTATAGAATCAAAGTAGGTTAGCTCAAGTGGAGGAATGCTTCTGACGTATTATGTGATCGATGAATACCAACAAAATTGAAAAGAAGCATCACATTCATAAAATGAGTGTAGTTGTGATGATGATGTATATAGATTTATTTATTTATTTATTTATTTGGATGTATATAGATTGCTAACCAAACCAAATCAAACCAAAACGAAGCCCTAAGTCCCGTCAAATAGGGTTGGATGTATATAGATTGATGAGTGATAAAAATAAAAGGACATAATTAAAAATAAATATATCTGTGAAAAGATAGAAGTAGCACCAATCGAAGATAAGCTGATAGAAGTAACACTAGTTGAAGGTAACCTGAGTGAGAATAGGCTTAAGATGGTTTGGTTTGGCCATATACAATGAAGACCTTGTAGATGCAACAGTAAGGAAGAGTGATATGATGATTATCATAAATGGAAATGTTACGAGGAGATGAAGACCTAAAATATCATGGATGTGGTAGATTAAAAAAAAAAGAAAAAAATAAATGAATTTATTTAATTTAATCAAGCATATTTCCATTGACACAGCAAAATGGCAAAAAACAAATTCATATTGCCGTTCCCACTTGATTGGGACATAAGGCTTAGTTTGGTTTGCTTTGTTTGGTGGAGGCTGCCTAGATAAAGCCAAGAAGACCGAGCAAACAATATGGGAGGGTGCACTCAATTGGGGAGGGGAGTGCATCTCTATGTGATGTTTCAAGGGACAAGTGTGGGAGAAGGGCACGCTCTGTTGGAGAGTCATTCAGAGCTCCACTTTCATCTCCTAAGACTTACGTAGAACTAGAAACAGCAAGCTAGGATTGAAGCCTCCAGCCATTGGCAACACAATTTCTTGCAAGAGCAACTCTTTGAAGGTGCACACAGATTATCTTTAGCTAGTAACTGGTTCAAGAAGAAAACCCCAAAAAGATAAATACATATACATTAGATGCATAAATACAAATATATAATACCAAATTGGGTTTTGAGTACAAGGGGCCATTGTGGACATGAAGTTAATATTTTATGAATGACCTGCATATTTTGATCTTCGATTAATGATTATAATGTCACCATCTTGATGCCTAACACTTTAGCACAAGTGTGGAGCTTGGGTACACACCTGTATCTTAACACCACCTGCAAATGAAGGGCTTTCCTTGTCAATGCTATCAATTCTATTCTATTTGTTCAACTTCAAGTTGATTTCCTTATAAGGTCTGTTGACTTCAATATTGGCGTTTGTTGGTTTGTTCTGTTCCAAGAACTAGACGTGTACTAGAGGTGTCATCTAATGTTTATGTTGGCAATGTTGGTAAACTTGCTTATTTTGTACTCACTTTAGTTTGATCTCTAGGATTTTGTTGATAGATCTTCAATGTTCTAATTTCCTAATATTTTTGTGCTGCCAATGGTCATTGCTTTTTGTAGTTGTTCTTGAAGTTTCACAAATTATTAATTGATGATTTATTACATTGGAATGTTCTGCTTTATCTATGCTAAACTGAAGTCGGTTGTCTATGTGCTTTCAGATTTGTCCCATGTGTTCTCCTCCATCCAGAGAGACCTCAATTTCATTGATCACACAAGTGATCTTGGATGGAAAGAGTAGGCAAACTCTTGTCACTGAATTAGCTACACGGCACATATTCCCAACTATATCTTAGTAATGTTGTTTTGTTTGATATGATTGTAGGGCTCAAAGGGTTCACCCAATTGTGGTTGATCCAGGGCTTTACTTGGCAAGGAGGACCCAAATCTTTCATGCCACAGAGAAACGACCAACACCTGATGCTTTTAGAGTTTTTACAGGCAAATCCTCTTCGCTGTATTTGATTTATTTTGCTACTTAGAATTATGGTAACATTTATGTTTATAGTTTTCTGTTTTAGTTCACAAAAATTTTGAGGACTTTTAACAAAATCTCATTTGGTATCTCTATTTTTGTTTTCAAAAAATTGTAAACAGATTAGAAAATTTATCAGATTCTTATTTTTTTGCTTCACTTGTTCAGATAAATAAATTTTCATTCCTTCCTCTCTCCCCCCACTGCTCATCACCACCACCTGTCACTAGATCCAGTCACCCCCACCTTTGGTGACCCCTTTGACCACCACCTCCCGTGGGGGGCAATCACCCTTGGCCGTTGACAACCACCTCTGCCCACCATGGAGGCCACCACCTCCAACCGCCAGAAAAGACCTTTGGCCACCATCTTCGGCCGTCAGCAACAAACAACCTTTGCCACCACCTTCAGCCACCATCTTCGACCGGTGGCGACAACTTCTGGCCATCCTCACTTATTTTCAAAACAAGTTTTTAATAGACGTGTATCAAACTTGTTTTTTGTTTTTACCAAAAATAAACATAAGCCTGTTTACTATATTTTTTTTGGGTTAGTACCTGTTTACTATATTCTGTAAGTAAAAACAGTACATTGTAAATGTTACCAAATGGCATCTAAATGTTAGCAGTAGAAGATGAAGTCACTAAGGTTGTGTTTGGTTCATGGATTTAGAAAGGGAACGGGAAAAGAAAAAGGTATGTGAAATATAATTATATTTCATTCACATTTCACCTAATTTTTTCCTTTCCAAATCATTACCCAAATCTATGAACCAAACACAGCGTGAAGGAATGTTATACTGAGAAATAAACCTCTGATTTTTTCAGGTTCTCCATGGATTGTCTTAAGCCGAGGTTTTCTTGAATTCTGTATTCTTGGATGGGATAATCTCCCTCGCATCCTTCTAATGTATTTTAATAATGCAATTTTACCCCAAGAAGTGTATTTCCATTCTGTCATTTGCAACTCACCTGATTTCAAGAACACAACTGTTAACAGTGATCTAAGATACATGATCTGGGACAATCCCCCCAAGATGGAACCCCACTTTCTCAATACGTTAGATTACAATCAGATGGTTCAAAGCGGAGCTGCTTTTGGAAGACAGTTTCATAAAGACGATCCAGTGCTGGACATGGTTGATGAGAACATCCTCAAGCGTGGCCGTAACCGAGCTGCCCCGGGGGCCTGGTGCACTGGCCGGAAGAGCTGGTGGATGGATCCATGTTCACAATGGGGTGATGTCAATGTCTTGAAGCCAGGGCCTCAAGCCAAGAAATTTCAGGAGTCCATGACTGGACTTCTTGATGACATCAATACACAGTCGAATCAATGCAAGTGAAAATGTACGAACTCGAGGACCGTCCAAGAATTGACGAAATTGGATGTGCATCTGAGATGTTGGCTGGTTAGAACGACAATCTTTCCGTTGACATGCATATATTGGTCTATACACCTATTTTTTTGTGGGGTTCTGGTTAGAGGCTTATTTGGTGCTGTGTATTGAGGGGTTAGAATTGGAGGACCGTCTTGAATTGGTTAAGAGTTTTTTGGGCTGTATTGTTGGGGGCTAGAATTTATTGTAGAGGCCACTGGCAAGAGTCTTCACTGAATAAGAGGGATCACCGGTCTTTGTAGTGCCATCAATACTGTTGTTGGCATTTTCTACCTCTCCTCGCAGCTTGCCAATTGACACAGTTTAAATGTTGAGGACGGGTGTCATTCTTTAAATTTCAAAAAATTTGTTGTATTTGTTTTAATTCCTTTCCTTGCTGTCTCATCTACAGTAGACACATTATTTCAGATGGCTGATATGTTTATATATGTGAAGGATAGTTTTTAGGGAAACACTAAAAACTATTTAATGCTCTTGAAGCGGCACACTTGTTCACTAATCATATTTCTCAACCATTCAACACAATCATGGATCTTACTTTTTCCCCTAATCAAATCACTTTGGGACATCACGTGACCGTACTCTAGGAGCATCCAATAATCACTTCTTAGAAAGGGAAACTATTTCAGAGCCCTTTGACCTAGTGATGTTTTGTTTTCTTCCAAAATGAAACTTTGATCCCCAGTTTGTTGGCAATAGGATTTTTATAAGAAAGGCAGATGATTTATTGTTGGGAGTTTTTGTCCTCAAATTGTACTGATGTTGAAATATTTCTCCATCATCAACTCTTCACATTCTCAACCCCCTCCCTCCGTTTGCTAATATTTGTTGGCCAAATTAGAACCGTGTTTTGTAGACTGATTGTTCAGTATTTTCACTCTTACTGAGACCCATCATCCTTGAGAAGAAATGGAACAATGTAATATAAATAAGAGAAAAATAGAACTTTTTAAGGCTTGTTGACAAAGTAGACTTTTTTTTTGTGCTGACTGACGTCATAGAGGATGGGGAAATTTGGTATGAAACTAGAATTGCAGGTTGATTGATTGGATACTCTTGATAAATGTCTCAGACAAGGGAGCATAATAGAGGGTTTGATAAATGGAAGAACAGAGTTTTAGTCCCAATATCAAGTCATATATGATACTGTTGGAAGGGTTAGATAGGCTCGATGTACAAAACATTCAGTGTCCCAAATATGGTCCCAAAAACATTATGGCTCCTCTCTTTAACACTTGTGTGCTTGAAAATAACTTTTGATTATTTGTTTTTTTCTTTTTTCTTTTCAAGAAGCTCACAGTTTAGGAGAACAATAATGCTAGGTGTCACAGGACTAATTTTCGTGCTCAAAATTTTCCTGTGATGACAATAAGTCTTAGCACTTAGTCTCAATCAATGTATGCAACTCACACACACGATAAGTTTGTCAAGCATATAAGATAAAGGAACACAGTAATTATGGAAAAACTCAACCTTTATTATTCACCAACAATTATAAAGGAAAGTCAAATTCTAAACTCACTAACAATTGATAATTTCAAGTTTGCATGGCCATGCCTATATATAGACTATAATCAAAACATTTGAAATTCAAACAGGCAACTAAACATAAGAAACACATGCCACCTGGCATAGCAATTGACACCCCCAACTGCCAAAGGGTAAGCACAAATCTGAAATAAGCCTATAGAACCACCCATAACCACCCCTATGTTTTACGAAGCCTTTGTCTTGCTTTAGATAATTCGAATTGCTCAAACCACCAACCAAATAGAGCCCTGAGTGCCATTTGTTGGTTTTGGTCAAGCCTATTCGTCTTGCTAACCAGCCAAGTGTGCACAACGCCTTGCTATAACGCCCCGAAATGATAACAACCCACAACATAATATTCCATAGAATTAATCCCCTAGTATTATAGTTAGCATTCCATTGATACTCCTTGATCATACAAAAGATGACATATGCGTGTATACATCCATAAATCCTAGATCCTGAATCTATAGTATATAACATGTGTACATAAATTGAAATAAAAGGAGAATCAAGTAAGTTTATGCCCTAGTGGCTATATTTTTCCAAGTCAATGCTTAGATACAACAAAAATGAGTTCAACTCAATACAGTTAAAGTCCATGGCTTGTACAAATATAATTACATCAAAAGAAACAAAAGAAGCTCTTGGCTCCAAATCCTTCCAAGCTATGTCTATATCATCAGCACTTGAAATTTGTTTCCTATATAGGGTGAACTAAAAGCCTAGTAGAGATACTATAACACAATGTATGAAACTTAACGAAGTCATAAGATAAATGCATATGCATTCCATTTGTCAAACGTTTAACATTTTCGTCTCAAAACCATGTAATGCTAGGATTATATATCAATTCATAAAAATATCTTTTTATATCAGAAAACAGTGCAGTGGATACAAAACACTGGGAATCTCTCAGTACATGTCTGCCAATAAGCTATACAAGCACTACCAAAGCCATTTTACCGGTACTAACCAGAAGAATCGATACCTAACTACGCAGGTTTCTCGACTTTCACTAATGACACAAAAGCCAACATAATAACCACAACCACATCCCCTAACTAGATTCGCTAAGGTATACACAAATTTTTCTAAAAAACAATATATTTTCAATGCTTAAGTATGAAATAATGCTCTATGCAAAATGTATGAGTAATTAGTTTCAATTCACCTAATCTACATGTAATTTTTACAACAATCAAAGTTATCCTCCACCAATAAACCAAAACAGATATTTCTATTCAACAGATAATTTTCCAACAACAGATATAATCTCATCAATTTTAAAATGAGATTGATACCACATATCCAATTTCATTCTCATCAATCAACAAATACATTCTTCCTATCTTTTCAAAACCCAACATATTTTCCGTTTTCTTTCGTAAATCAAATATCAATAATTTTTGAACAAAACCTTCTTTACTTTCAAAATCACATTTAAGTAAGGAAATTCCAACATTTCAACATATCTCAACAATAAATACATCCCCACAACTTTTCTCAAGAACCCATTTGAAAATCCCTCTTTTACATTTCAAAATCCAACCCTTGGTTTAACCCCATAATCTCTAAATCACTAAACAGTTTCAATGCGCAAATAACTAGACTAAGAATCATACAAAAGGTTGAAAAAATCACTATCTCATGAGTAGAAGAGAAAGAGAGCAAGGGTAAGACTTTGACGGAGCCGAAAACAAGATCCTCTCCGATTAGAATGAAGCTTTTGATGAGCTTTATCTTTTTCTCTAATGAGCTATGGTGGAGTATTTGAGGATTTAAGCAAGAACTAGAGAGAGAAGGGAAATAAATTAGGGTTAGAGGTGTTTTAGAGAGAAAGAGATGAAAAAGTGATTGAAATTTCCCTTTTCCCGATCTGATATACACACAGATCGCTTGAGCGACCAAAATACTGCTCGAGCGTTAGACACAATAAGTGACACCACTTGAGTGACTAAAAACACCGCTCGAGCGCACAATGACCCCCTCCTAAAAGTTTTGCATACTGTAGAATACTGCTTGAGCACAGCGAAGATCACCATACTCCTAGAAGTTTTGCAGACCTGCAAAAATACTGGGAGATTTCAAAGTCCGCTTGAGCGACCAAAACACCGCTCGAGTGAACAAGAAGAAAATTGGACAACAACTCTTTTGAAAAACGAACTCCGAACCTATTTCAAATACAATAAACACGCAACTCAAACAAGATGAAAAATACATGAACAACAATTAAAGACAATAAATCTTGGATCTAAGGGCAATAAATGAGTTGGGTTTAAACTGGAACAGTTATACTTACTGTCTAGCCAAGTCAAGGTATTTGATTTTGTTAAACCCCCAAGAATGCTGCAGCCAAACATTAAGGTCATATTAATGTATTGCATGTGCCATGCTGCCCATACTTTGGCCAAGGGTTAAGTGTCGCTGCTAAACGGCACAACTGATTTTTCACCTTGTTGTTTTAGCATGCCTCTCTCATGTTGCGGTCCAAGTTTGACATAGGTGCAAGGTGCCACCAAATGTCAAGTCACCAGCTCCCGAATGTCAAGGTGCTAACACTAGGCAACATGAAAGAAATATCATGAAAAACCTTTATGAAGATTCTCCACTTTTAGATTAGCTTGTAATGTTTCATTGTATGTTATGTAATCACCTTTAGATTAGTTTCATAAAATTCTTCCTGATATTTATATCATGATGCGTAACATTACTCTTTTAGTAAACCAAACACTACCTTACCTTTGTGTCAAATTGCCAATATAAATAGGAACCTTTCAGATCAGAGATTGCCTATGAATATCAGTTTGTTTATTTATTTATTTATTTTTGTGTGGGTAAATTGGTGCAGTGATGACTGGAAATCCGATGATATTTTCAAAACAAAAAACCTGAAACAATAAAACATGGCTTGCTCAAGACCACTGCAGTTTAAGAACTTATTCAAAAGAATTTGCAAGTTTGGATAAATTTTGCTATTATCAAATGTTCCTACAGACTATTTAGCGATGTTGCCCTGCATGCACCTCCAATCTTTGAACAAATTTTCATTCAACTTTGCAGAACGTCTGTAGCATAATCTTTGAAGCAAAACCGTTGTATGGAAGATGTATCAATTCTCTTACCATAATGAAACGAAATAGAATGATCATTCCCATGTTCAATTGATTGAAAAAACAAATGAAATCATCATTCATCATTTCAAAAGAATGGGATTCTATATGAGAGCCCAAGGAATAATCATTCAATTCCGTTCAATTCCAACTCATTCTAATGAACCAAATAGAGTATAATTGAAACTTGAAATTACAGAACTAGAATGGGAAGGTCAATTTATAGTCTGTTGCAAAGAAAAGCAAGTAACTTGTTCTCATGGCCAATTCGTTACCTCTCATTTATTTAAGGGTAACGATATCTGCAAGGTAATTCAGTCAAGTTGAGTTTTAACAAGAGCAAATAAAGCGAGATAAGTTGAGATCCAAAGCACTGTGAAGTTATAAAGATTAATGACGCTACCCAGAATTCAAGTTGTCGAATTCAACACTTCAAGATAATGCACTAGGATCATATATATATATATAATATTTGTGTCCAAGCATTTCACTTGCTGTAACCAAGGTTGTTATAATTTTTGAGGGACTAATGGATTAGATGGTAGAATCGAAACGAAAATCGTAAGATTCTACTTTTAATGCAAAATAAAATGAAAAATTATTGATAATAATAATTTTTGTTACATAATTTTAAAAAGATTAAAGAAAATTGATAAATTTGATATAATGTATATTTTATGTTAACATAAATTAGAGAAGACATTTGAAAAATGAGTTTATAATTAAATTTTTTATATAGATATACACATATATATAAGAAATAACTAATAAAAAAAAAATAGTAGGATCGGGATCATATGCAATTCTACATCATTTTGTGACTAGAATCGTAGTGATTTTAAGATCCTACTAAATTTAAGATCCTAGCATGATCTGGATTGTTTGATCCAACTGAAATCTTATGATCCTAAGATCCTATGATTTGGATCGAAATTCTGATAACTATGGCTGTAACCAAAGTTATTCTTTGTCACTCATAATTGTACTTCAAAAAAAAAAAAATTTTGAACAAAAGAAAAAAAATTAGAAAAAAAGAAATTTCAGAAGTTCAACAAACTTTTATTACTGATCCATCCACTTTTCCTCAGAATACATCGGTATACACACCTCAAGCAGAAAATCCAGATCTAAGAGAAGCTACCAATATGCAAATCTCTAAACTTGCTACATTCAAATTTCAGTAAAGTTGAGTGAGATGGTGAAACAGAGAAGTGGAAGTAATCTTGACAGCACCAGAAAGAGAGTGTGTTCTAACACCACAACCACAAATTGCAACATATTCAGTGAACTTACAGTCAACAACACCAAACATCAGTTTGAGCTCAAAATTCACTACGGTCCGGTGCGATCCACTCCTCTCCAAATTCAGACGATGGAGACTCGTCCTCTTGAACAACTGGCGTTTCCGGCATCTCTAGGACTTTGTGAAGACCATGAACAGAAAGCCAATCACTGTCAAACATGTCCGGAATTGATATCGGAACTCCATTTATCATCAACAGGTCATTGTTTTTCGTAATTTTTACTGTAAATCCATCGGAAAAAGTCCTCAACTCTGTTCCGTCTTCAAAATTAATTAGATCAGTCCATCTAAGCTTGCAAGGAACAACATGTCGAAGAAACAAGGATGAGTATTCACTAACATTGCCGACATATTCAAGCATCACATCATCAACAGGAGCGAACACAGTCAGATTCGGCCGATCAACTAACGCTAGCACCAATTGCAGATCAAGAAACGAAGCCACGACAGAGTACCCTCTCGATCTCAGCATTCCAGAAGCTTCATCAAACGAATAACCACGAGACAAATAGCTCCAAGTTGTTCTTGTTGTTGTTGTTGAAGCCACGCAGCGGAGATCGGGGCTAGGGCTTTGAATCGGCAACAAAACCACTTCCAGATTCGGATCAAAAAACTTGTCGATTCCAAAGATAATCAACGATCCATCGTCGTATATCGGCGATCCATTGATTGTGACATTATTGAGAGAAACTTGCTGATCCAAAGCCGATGTGGTGACTATCAATGACTTGCCGGAGGACAAGGTGGGGATCTTGGTGCCATAGGGAAGCGATCGGAGGCTGTCGAGGGAGAAAGCGAGGGGAGAGAAGTGAAACTGGAGGAGAGAGAGGGGTGGCTGGCCGGAATATGAGAATGCGGCGTCGGAGGGAGAGAAGATGGTGGCGGACGGTGGTTGAGAAGTGAGGGTGGCGGAGACGAGATCTAGGGTTAGGGCCATGGCGACGAAGCCGGAGTTGGAGAGGATCTCTTCGGCGTTGAGGACAGCGATGGAGGGGAGCGGATAGGAGAGAGAGAAGAGAGAGAAAGTGAGGAGAGAGAGGAGAATCAAATTCGGTTTCGCCATTAATGGAGTTTGGTTGCTGCTCTTCAGTTGCTTAGAGTGGTTATATATGTTTTGGAGGAGTGAAGGTTTGGCGGGAAAAGGAGAGACACGTGGATAGCTTTTATTTGCTGGTTTAGAATTCTGTTATGGCCGCTCTATTTGAATTTACTAAAATACCCCAATGTTTGTGAATATCTATACAAGCCACCTCATTTTTTATTTTTATTTTTTATTTTTTGTCCATAATGACTTTTTTTAAAAAAAAATTTATGTCAATTTTTTTTACATTTACGGCTTATGCAGACAAATCTAAAAAGTAATAAAAAATTAAAAATTTTAAAAACCAAAAGGTCCATTATATTTTTGTTTATTTTTGGCTTTTTCGAATTTTTAAATTTTTTTAAATTTTTGGTTCGTCTCGTCGAGCTGAATCTTTTAAAATTTTTTGATTTTAAAAAAAAAATCATTAAAGACAAAAATAAATAAATCAAAATCAGATAAGCAAATATCAAACACACGTAAGAAATCTTCAAAATTATATATGTAGATCGGATTTATTTTAAGTGTGAATAAAATTATATTAAATTTAAACTTCTTCTCAATATTTTTTTGAGTTTATAATTTTTTCAAAAATTTAAAATTTTCACTAACCATAGTTTCAATTTATATAGATGATATTCATATTTGTTATCGATTATTACTTAGCAAATATTTGGTTGTTTAAAATGAAAGTAAATTGGAATAAAATGGTCATTGCTTAATCTCATTTTAATGACCATTCACTTATTATTTTGATGAATGATAATTTCATATATAATGTATTTTTTATATATAAATTTTGTTAATTAATTAAATATAAGAATAGATATTTGAATGGAATGATCATTTCATTCGAGTTCATTCTAATAAACTAAACACAACATTATAAGAAAAAATAGGATATTTATTCATAAATCCCACTTCATTTACTTATGTTCTACTTAATTCAAATTATTGTTTTATGTTCCAATAAGCTCTATGGGTGACATAATTATCAAAATACCCCTAATAATAATAGGGAGAAGTTCATATTGACAATGTGAATGATGTGACCATTTACATTGTCAAATTTATTTAATATGAATGTTTATATCACCAAGTTGATAAAGGTTCAAAAAATATTTGTAAAGGTAAAATTATCCATAAAATATCTAAAATATGATAATTAGGATTTGATGGATAAAATATCCAAAATAATAAAACTTATTAGAATGCAAGAATATTTTATGAACTAATTGAGTTACAAATAATTTTTTTGTGTGAACGGAATTAAGATATACAAATACTTGAAAGAGGATTTTCTAATATAAATTCTCAAAAAAAATAAATAAATTTGAGCACTCGGGCAAAAAATCAAATCTTGAATTTTCTTTGACAACACGTCCAAGCGTTAATTTATTATAGAGTATTTCTATTAACCCCTACATTTCTTCTTAGAACCCCCACCTCATTCATTTTTTTTTTTAATTCCAATTTTGTCCCAATCTAAAATTCTACTTTTACCCTTATTCCTTATCTTCCAACCATAATTTCCCAAACTCCAACCCTAATCACCTTCGACAATATCACCATCTCCGACCACCCCTTACCTTCGCAACCACCACTTATTCTGTCGTAATCAGCCACCACCTTTATCGACAGGCACCCCCAATCCCTATTGTAGATCTGAATAAGAGAAGAGAGATCGACCCATTCGGCACTATGTTGTTGAACTAAAAAGATTTGTTCAGCACTGTGTTATCGAACATTCAGGATTTATTCAGCATTATGTTGCTGTACCCACTCTGCCATCATAACCTCTCTATTCATTGCAAGAGAAAGCGAGCAAGAGAGGAAGAGATAAAAACCTAAGGTTTTCAAAAAAAGATAAAAAAGAAAATAGAAAAGAGGGACAAGGAAGAGGGCAAGACATACGACCATGAAATCACTCGCCGTAGCCTGTGATAGTGGTTATAATGGTGGCCATTGTTGATAGGTCTTTCCTTTTGCTCTGTTTCTCACTTTTTACTTGATTGGAATGCAAGAAAATAGAGAGAGAGAAAGAGAGAGAAAGAGAGAGAGAGAGAGAAAACTTAGATTAGAGAGAGAAGTGGAAGGGGGTTAGGATTTGGGTTTGGTTTTGGAGTTAGGGGTATAGTTGTATTAAGGTGGGTGTTCAAAGAGAAAATGAAGAGATTTCATTTTGCTAGGAAAGGGTTCAAAGAAGTAGGTAGGCCAAAGTAATTAGGTGGGAGCAAATAGCAGCCTTCTTCATTATATTCATAAAGATAAATTCTCACAAAATAACCAAAATATCCCAAACACCGCCTCTACTCTTTTATTTCTCTCACGGTTCGGTTCAATCCTCAGTCTCTTTCATTGCTAAAAAAAACAAATATATATATATATATATCTCTTTCCTACGATTTATCTGTTGCATCCTCGCCGGTGATCTGTTCGTCACATCCTCTCTCTCTCTCTCATCATTAACCATCAGGTCAGGGGTGGCGCAACCGTGATTGGACTCTTCGGTTCAATCCTCAGTCTCTTTCATTGCTAAAAAAAACAAATATATATATATATATATCTCTTTCCTACGATTTATCTGTTGCATCCTCGCCGGTGATCTGTTCGTCACATCCTCTCTCTCTCTCATCATTAACCATCAGGTCAGGGGTGGCGCAACCGTGATTGGACTCTGTTCGGGTTTTAGATTTATGACGGTGACTTTCAACCATTCTAATCCTAGATCTATGTTGAAAACCGTTGATTCAGACAGTTTCGCAACAAAGAAGAAGATCGAGAGTAGTAACCCTAACATGAAGAAGATCGAAAAGATTTTTTCTAGATCATGGAGGTTTGGGGCGACTCTGACAAGTAGGTCCTCAGTCGCACGATCCTCACCGTAGACATGTTCAACGCTGATGCCAACGGTGGACTTGGAATCAATATCCAACACTAACACTGTTGATTAAACTTTTTGTTACAGTGTTTCAGTTGAACGGTATATCTAATGCTTTAGTTTTTATGTGTCTTGGGGAGTGTTTGGGAACGGGAAAAGTATATTTTTCGAGCCTTTCTTGTCATCTTATCACCCCACGACTTCTATTCCTTAGAGATCTACGCTCTCTCTTTTTGCTATAGTTCTATTTTAAGATCAAGCATTTTTTTTTCTTTCTATCTTCAAAACTTTTTAATTAGTTGTCATTCACTACTAGAAAAAACACTTTTCGTGACGAACATGTTTGGTCGCGAAAAGTACCATATTTGGTCGCTAAAACCTTTTCGCGACCAAAATATGTTGGTCACGAGTTGGTTGCTAAAGCCTCGTCACAGATAGTTTTCTGCGACCGAAAAAGCCTTTGGTCGCTAAAAGTGACCATTCGCGACCAACTTTCTTGGTCACGAAAAGTCCAATTCACATTAGCCAAAAGTAAACTTTTAGCGACCAAAGATAAGTTGGTCGCCAAAAGTCAGCGCCTTGACCCAAAAAAAGTAATTCTTTTGTGCTCCCTAGGACTTGAACTCCTGACCAAGGAGTCACTATGCACCCAATCCACTCTGCCACTCTGCCAATAACATACTTCTTGTTCATATTTGACAAAAAAAATATATAACCCATAAAAATTGGGTTATATATTATTTTATAAAACTTTTAATGCCTAAATAGAAAAATAGCATGTAATTACTGTAATATCATTTTTTTAAAAAATTTATCCCGCCATAACTTTCCGCGACCAACTTTTTTTTTTGGTCGCCAAAGGGTAATCTTCCGCGACAAAAAAAAGCCTCTGGTCACCAACAGTAGACTTTTCGCGACCAACTTTTTTTTTTGTCGCCAAAAAGTGATCTTCCGCGACCAAAAAAACCTTTGGTCGCCAATAGCATACTTTCCGCGACCAACTTTTTTTTTTTGGTCGCCAAAGGATAATCTTCCGCGACCAAAAAAGCCTTTGGTCGCCAATAGTATACTTTCCGCGACCAACTTTTTTTCTGGTCGCCAAAGGGTATACTTTCTGTGACCAACTTCTTTTTTGGTCGCCAAAAGGTGATCTTCCGCGACCAAAAATGCCTTTGATCGCCAATAGTATACTTTCCGCGACCAACTTTTTTTTTTGGTCGCCAAAAGGTGATTTTCCGCGACCAAAAAATTGTGGTCGCCAAAAGTTAAATTTTAGTCGCAGAAAGTGGACTATTTGTGACCAAAAAAAATAGGTGGTCGCCAAAAGTGTTTTTTTCTTGTAGTGATTATTGAGAAACTCACGGTTGTCTGCTACCCTTATGAAGCCACCAATGCCAAGTATTGAAGATAAGCATGTCTACCCCTTTCCATGATTTGCCATTTTCAATGGAATCCAGCTTTAAAACTCTTCCTATCTTCTCCCTCACCAAATCCACTAGAAATGCATTTCGAGATATCATCACAGATATATTATATTCCTGCAATTCCCACCACACAATTTTCACTTGTTCACATTATTCCTAATACATATTCGACAAGAAATAAAAGACAAAAAATAAAATCAAAGCCTTTATTACATCATTATATTTTTTTAATGGAAAATTATAAAAAAACAAAGAAAAAGAAAGAAAACCCTCAGGTTTGACCCTTTTAACAAAATAAGACCTTAGTTTTTTATTTTGTCAATTTAAACTCTTTTCTTTTGAGTTATTTTCAATATAAACGATCAACCTATTTTTGTTAAGTAAACCGACAGAAAAATAATATTTTAATTATTAAATTCAATGTGAAAAAGAATTTTAAACATTTTATATGCATATATATTGAGTTTAACAATTAAAATATATTTTTCATCGATTTTACTTAATGGAATTAGATTGGTGGTTTATATTAAAAATAAATTAAAAAAATTGGAATTTAAATTAATAAAGTTAAAATTTCAAGTTTATTTTGGTAGAAGTGTCAAATTCGGAGTTTTTTTTTTATTTATTGTAATTTTCTCATTTTGCCAATAAAAAATTAAAAAAATAAAAATGAGCGAGAACCTGTAAGGTAAAGGTGGAGAGATCGTCTTTCCGTAGAATGGAGAAGTGTCGATTGGGCACAGCAGCATGAATCATGCATGTTAGTGACTGCCATTGATTCAGGCTTAGAGAGTCCCCCACAAACATTATTTTCTTTCCCCTTATTCTCCTCAACAAATCCTCACCGTTAAATCTGCACCCACAATACCAGATTGGGTAATGTTTGATTTATTAGAATGATTTGAAATTGAATAATTATTTTATTATAATGTAAATTTTTGTATTTGGTTGACCCAAAAAAATGATGAGAAGTAAATTATAAATGAAGTTACCATTCTCTATTTTTTTAAAATTTTATTTTATAACTTAGAGTGTTCGGGTTAGTTTGCACGCACCTCAACTAATCTCTGGGGATTAATCTCACTGTCCACTAATGAGGGCCCAATTAAAGTTAGAGCAGAGTTTTATATGGACACTTAATACAAATACAAGGATTGATAATACCTCAAAGGTTTCGAATCTGACACCTAGAGAGGAGCAAATTCTTAAGTCTCAAGCCTACACCATTAAGTATTTTTTTCTTCTTTTTTCTGGTACTCCGGAAAGAAATCACCATTCTGTATTGTAATCATTCCTTCCATAGAGAAGCTGATGAATGAATATTTCATTTCATTTTATTTTATTCTAGTGAATGTTGTTTGGTGAGATTAGATACAGGGACTAAAAGGGTAATTGTGAGGTTTATGCCGTAAGATTTTGTTCTGAATCCTTCCTAGGCTGGTGTTTGTTTGCTCACACGTGCATTACTATTAATTATTGTATGGAGAGCTATTGAATCTCACCTCGCCAAAAAAAAAAAAAAATAAAAAAAAAAAAAAAAAAGAGAATTTATTGATGTAAAATACTCAAAGAAACACATCAATAAAGGATAGCAGATGTTGGTGCAAATCTTTCGGAATGACGATGACGACGTAACTTCGAATAATAGCTTCCAAAATTATAATTGAAGTCGCGTTATGAATGTAACTTTTTAAAGATAGTATTTTTCCTCACAAGATTGTCTACACCAAATTATCATATTTTTAATATGGGATAAGTCAAAAAACTTAAAAGAACTTTTTCAAAAAAAGAAAAAAGATTTAAAAAAATTAACCCATTTTATTTTCGAAAATTCCCAACAACCGAGTCTGGAAAGAACATAACCCAATTTAAGTTGGCTTACGAACCACCAACACAGAGGAGATGGCAAAGTGCCCTCACCGAAAAGGTAAAGAAAATAACAAACAGAAAGTAAAGCCACCCGGGATTAATTGCAAAAAATTGTATTTCAAATTCTATCTCATCTTTTATCTAGATTACAATAAAATAAAATATTTAAAAAAAAAACGTAGAATTTGAGTCTGATAACAAAATAAATTCAGAATTTTTAATTTTGTCAATTTAAATCATAAACGTTTGATTTATTTTCAACCTAAACGTTCCTTTATTTTTGTTAAATAAAATTAACAAAAAAAGAGTATTTTAGTTATTAAATATATACACAAAATGTGTAAAACACCATTTTTCATGAGTTTAATGAATAAAATATTTATTTTTCCATCGATTTTATTTAACTAAAATAGACAAATGATTTAGATTAAAAATAAATACAAAGTATAATGTTTAAATTAACAAAATTAAAAACTTAAGATTTATTTTGTTACATGTCTCAATTCTTGGGATTTTTTTTTTTGTAATTTTGCACTTTATTCCATTTTAACCATAATTTTTTAATACTCAAATTAATAATAATAATAAAATAAAATAAAATAAAATAAAAAATTGTGAGATCCGCAATATTACTGATCTTTTATATCCATCTAATCCTATCCTCCAAACAAATATTATGTACCCGCACAGTCAATTGTTCATATATCATGTATATTGATTAAGTTCAGATTTTCCCGCTACTAAAAGTAAACTTAAATTTTTTATACATTTATGATTGAGCTCATATGATAAATAAATAAATATACATCATACCTTGGCAAATCACACCCATTGGGCTTCCATTTATACTTGAGATAAAGCTTATCTGGCCGTCCATTTCTCTGGCAATCAAATTCTGGCTCAATGAACGGACAGATGGACAAGTTGTAGAGAGGGTATGTATCATCATAGACCCAACTTCCTTGGAACAAATCACAGCCGCTTGATTTTGCTGCTTTTGGCTTGATCAGTTGTTCTATTATGGCACAGTAAGACAAACGAAAACATGAAAACACAAAAACAAAAACAAAAAGGATACATCGAAAAGAGCATAAGATGTGAAGCCCATATTCCATTGTTAGAGAGAGAGAGGGAGAGAGAGAGAGAGAGAGATAAGGACTTATAAGATGATGTGAGAATTGATACTTGGATTGGCTTGAAGACAAAGTCATCTTTTTTATTTGAAATATGTTTATATATTCATAAAATATCTAGAAATTTATGTAAGATGTAAGTTTAGATTGATATGGTTTGATCGTGGAGCAAGGATGATTTTTTTCTAAAGTTTCCTAGAGTGTTACATTGTGTAGTTGAGATTTACTGGCAAGTCACATTAATTTTTCTGATGTGACTTGTCAGTAAATCCCAACCACACAATATAGCACTCTAGGAAACTTTAGGAAAATTTCACTCTAGAGGATCCTTGGTGTTGATCGTGGGTTACAATCAAGATAAATTTAGGCCAAGTTTGGTAAGTTAAAAAAAAAAAGTAAAAAAGTTACTTAAAAAGTCAAAAACTTATCACTATTCACCAAAAGTCAAAAATTACGACTGCACAGCTCTTAATTTTAATTTTCCCCTACACACTAATTTATATAATTTTTTAATATACATTTTTTCATAAAAAGTCAAAAAGTTAAGCTAAACAACCATATTTTTTTCCTCAACTTTTTAGTTTAAAAAGTCAAAAAGTGCATTTATTTAGGACATTCCAAACAACCCATAATTTACACATTTTTAAAGTTTGAGTATATGTTTTGATGTAAAAAGATTTTATTATATATATATATATATGTATTTTGATATGTGAGGGAGTCTACCCCAATCCAAGACCAAGGCAAGCCGCATGTCTCAGCGATAATTTATATTAAACTTAAAGATTTCCTATCAAGGAGGACTGCTGACAGTTGAAATCGAACCTAAGCTGTGAAGGCAAAGAATCCTATGCTTACCAAGTCATCCAACCTCGTTGGTTTTGTTCTTAATGATTGTTACGAAATAAAAATAATAATCATGACTATGGATATATTGATCTCAATCAGGACATTTGGTTTAGTGATTATTCAATACCCTTTGTGAGGTTTTGGAATACGAAGATAAGTTTGATTTCTAGCTATTCTAATGTGAGATCTTGAGTTTAATTCATGTAGAGATGAATTTGATTGGAGGCAAAAGGATGAAATTATTTTGTTGTGTAAATATTCAAGATGCCTTAAAAAATTATAAAAATTATAATTAAAGAAAAAAAGATGAAATTATTTTTTCCATAATTATTGAAGGGTTACAAAAAAACTAAAAAAGTTATAATTATAACTTAAAAAAATCTCACCTTTATATATATATATATATATATATGTTGTGGGTTATGGTTATTGGTTGGAGGCCGCAGTATGTTGCAGGTTATGATTGTTGGTTGTTCTTGTGTTTGTATGTGGAACGATAAACCTGAGTTGTATCTCCTTCTAAAGGAGGAGGATAACCACTATGGCTGTATCTGTTTTTGTCTGAACTCTTAACTTTGAAAAAAAAAAAAAGTAGGAAAATCCAAATAAGTTCTAATATAAAATTGCAACCAAACACCATTCGGCTGAATAAATAGGAAAATTCGAATATGTTATAATATAAAATTGTAAGTTGAGTTTTTTTTTTTTTTTCCCCTGGTGGAATAAGTTGAGCTATAAATCCAATCACTAAAAATAAAAAAATAAAAAATGTGTTACCAAAGAAAACAAAAAGGGTTTATTATATTTTCTACCTCTAAACTATCACTAAATTATGTACTTAACCCCTAAACTATAGATTGAATTTATTAAGGCCCTAAAATATATAAAGAAAAATCAGGTTAGATCCTAAACTATCGATTGAATCTATTAAGTTCCTAAAGTATTTAGTTTAAACATATTTAGTCTCTGAAAAAAATTAAAAAATAAAATATAAGTCATAAATATTATAAATTAGTAAAAACCCTACTTAGTTAAGATTTTATTCTAAAAAAAAAACCTTAAATTTTTATTTTGTGTTTGAAAAGTGAATCAGTTCTTCTGTTGAATTTTCTTTATAAAGGTAAGGGTAATTTTTTAATAATTTTTGTACTTATCTTCTACAATAACTACTTGCTTTCCTTTATCTAGTATTATATGCCGTGTGAGAGCTGAATTGTAATAACCCGACCCTCGTACATGTTTTCTGATATGCTTTTAGTTCCTTACTCTGTGCAATTATATGCTTGCTGTGAAATTCCATGTGAAATTAAGTTTAATTGAGTGAATCTTATGATTATAGACTCATATCTGTCTAATAAGAGAAATATCTGTTACAATTAGGATGTTTGGATCAGAAATTTGAAGCCTTAGAAACTTGATAATCTAAAATTGACTTTATAATTGAGTTCAGCATAATTTTTAGATCATAATATGATTTTCTGTAAAAATTTGATTCGGAATCATTAAACTGATTGAATTTTGTCTTATTCAACTTTTTTATATCTATATGTACCTCTTTGGACATTTGACATAGAAGCTTTCTTACTAAAAATATCTCCTGACAGAGAGAGTTAGAGAAGAAGAGAGTTTGAGAGGGAGAAGAGAAGTTCATCAAGGAAGAGGATTGGGAAAATTGAGAGAGTTGTAAAGATTTGAGCTCAAGGTAAGTTTAATCCATCTACAATAATCCTTTATTGGACTTGAATAAGGTTCTCTTTGTAATTATATGGTTAGGGTTTGTAATTGAATTAATTGTAAAGAGGTTGTATCATTTTGACCATTTTGAGCTTTATAGAGATGAATGACATTCTATTCCTTCCTTTTACAGGCTTGAATTTGTGTATGTATTTAGATGATTGCATATTTGAGAAACTAAATATGGTTAGAAACTCAAAGTGATTAAATTGTGTTTAAATTGTGTTTATGAGTTTAAAGCTTTTAAGGATCAAATTGAGTTTGTGAAGTATGTTTATGGTAATAATATATCCTAAAACTTACATTGTTGTACCTATTTTTCTACTCTTCCATGCGTTGGCTTTGTTGAATTTGTATCTTGGTTCGGACTGCAAAACAGGGGTAACCGCCGCATGTGTGGGGCTTACAGCTACACGTGCGGGAAGCACCACCGCACATGCGAGGCTCACAGCTGCACGTGCGGAAAACAGGGGAAATTAGGGCTCAAGACACTGCAATATATGCACGTGCGGGGCGCACGTGCGGCCACTTACCTGCACATGCGGCGAAGGGCCCCCGCACGTGCGGCCCACAGGGAAAAAAATCTGTATCCTCCGTTTCGTCTGCTTGACCCTCTGGGATTACTAAAATCTGTGTTTGATGCTTTTAAAATGGTTGTAAATTCATTAGAAGCAAACGAATCTGATATTGTTTAAAAAGGAAACTGAACTAATGTCTGAACTGTATGTGTGTGTGTAGATCACATACAGGAGGGGACTATCGCTCCACCACAACACAGTGAGTAATAGTACTGCAGTAGTACATTTGCTTATTGTTGATAATTATTTTTAATGCTCTGTTATTCACAAGTTAACTATGCTAACCTATATGAACGATTGGAAAATCTATGTACATCTATACGATTCTGGAATTATTTTGCTTTGTTGGTATCTGTCCTAGGGGCCTATCTGTAAAGTCTGTTGGGCCAGAGGTTATAAAGTCTGTTGGGCCTGAGGCCGTTCTGTATGTTACTGTGCTTGAAGGCACTCTGTATAAAGATTGGGCCCAAGGCCGTTCTAAAAATATTTACAGAATAAGATTAATCATTTGACCTTTGCACTTACGTACATTATAATTCAGGTTTATTCATTGAATCATTTAAGTACTATTGTTCACTGAGCCTTGCTCACTCTGTGTTGTGTCTGTCTCTATAGGCAATTAGCTCGGAGGTCAACCCTAGCCCAGCTTTAGCAGTTTTCTTTTGTCAACCCCGCCGTGCCTATGAAGTAGATGAAGCTTATTCATTTTTGTAGAGTACCTTGTATAGCTCATAGCATTGGCCTAACCTTTTGTTGAAACTTGATAATATTGTATTTCCCCCATATCCTTGGGGCTTTTGTTATACCTCCGGTTACGGGGTTGGGACTGTACATACATGTATGTCTGTGAATAGCCATTACTTCTGTATATGTTTCATTATGAATGTGTTATCTGTGAATGTTGTGATCCTGGCATGTAGGCGTTGGCTCAATGGATGTTTATCTAAAGTTGATATTTGCTTCCGTTTAGGCCCCAAGTTATATAATTATCATATTTAGGGACTGTTTTGGGTTGGTCATGCCCAAACTTTTAGGGGCAGGTTTGGGGCGTGACATGAATATTTCGAGGGCAATAAGGACAGATACAAGTATGAGATCAGTCATGGACGTAACTTGTATTCAGCATTGATCCTAGTCGATCCTAGTCGATCGCAGAGCCGAATAAATATACATGCAATGGATTAAGGGTGGGTGAGAATATAAATAGAGGATCATTAGTAAGAGAAAGGTATGTGAGAAAAAAATAAGTTTAACTTGAGATATAAACAACCAAGGGAGTATACACCATATTTGTCGGAGTGCTAATTCTGGCACCTTCGACCGGAGTGTTTATTCCTTTTCAGGTGACTAGCTGAGGATCATGAGCGTCTTACTGGATCCAAAGAGTATTTCCGAACCATTTCCCCACAATTAGCGCCGTCTGTGGGAATACTCCAGCATGTCCATGGCGGGCATGACGAAAGATCCTCTAGTAGTCGCTGACGACCTTATACCACGAGATGATAACACTCCAAGAAACATGCTTGGACTAGAGAATATTGCCGCACGAAGGGCCTTGAACTTCGACTCACCTTCAACTTTAGCACATGAGACAATGCAAGCGATTATGGATCAAGCGAAGTAAAATGAACAGAGGTTGGAAAACATGATAGCTGAGAACGAGCATCTTCGACAGGATTTGGCTCTGGAGGTGGCAAAGTCCCAACAGACTGCACGCCAAGACCCAGGCCGACCTCTGAGAAAGGACGGTCGACAACCTCGAGTTCGGAGACACGATAGTGGCAGTGATTCTGACTCATCATTCCTGGAACCTGCAAAGAAGGGACGAGTCGAAGTCTCCAGCTTTTCTGAATGAAGCCCGCGTGCATGAAAT